TGGTCACGTGACAACCCGTGACCAATTCTGGGATTTGGGCGGCGAAGGTTACATTCATATGGCATTGTGTGGGGTTGAATGGCACGGGGAAATTAGTCTAGTGGTATGATTCTCGCTTAGGGTGCGAGAGGTCCCGGGTTCGATTCCCGGATTTCCCCTTGCTTTTTGGCCGGCGCGCGTCTGCCGCGGTGTTTCGGCGCCCGGCGGGGGGCGGGGCTTGTGCGCGGGGGAGGAATGGCCGGCATTTTTATTTTTTTCAATATGCAACGCGCGGCAATCGCGGGTGCGGGGGGCCCGGTGGCCGGTCTCGGCCAAGCATTGGATGGGTCTCTGCTGCCTTGCCTGGGGCCCGAGCGGGGGGTCGGCCCGTGAGCTGGCCGCGCACTCGGGCGCCCACCCCTGGGCCAGGTGGAGCCGCCTGGGGGCCTTTTCGGGCCCCACCCCCGGAGCCCGGGCCAAGACATGTGGGAGGGCTGCCCTGCTCTGGCCATGAGGGGGCGCTGTTGGCGGCCTCGATGCCGGACCGGCTGGCGGCCGGCCGCCCTCATTCCCCGGCCCAGGCGGCTACGTGCGGCCGCGCTGGCATCCCCCCCCCCCCCTCCCCCGCCAGCACACCATTCCGGCCACCCCGCTGCCTGTCCCCTCTCCCGGTCCGGGGCCGCGGGGCATGCCCTCGGCGCAGGCGGCGCGGACACAATGTGGCAAGAGGCAGCCTCACATGGCGACTGGCCGGTGGGCGTTCACACGGACACGCATGTTTCGCATCGTGCACACATATCAGGCGCGTGCGCAGGGGGCACAGTGCCAAGGGGGCGGACGCATGCATGGGGGTGTATTATCCGGGCCGGCCGGGGCGCCGGGGGCGTTGGCTCGGAGTCCCCCACGGCCCGGGGGGGGGGGGGGGGGCACGGCCACCTGGCGCGTGGCGGCTCCTGGCCGGCAGGGCGCCCCGGGGCGAGGGAGGCCCGACATGGGGCCCGGTGCCCGGGGCGGGGGCAGGCCCCGCCGGCGGGTGCCTCTTACAGGGCCCCGCGCCCCGGTCCGGCTCAAGCAAGGACCCGCATCTCCAGCGGATCGACCGTGCTCTTGGGCGCGCGTCGCTTGGCCACCCAGACGCCGGTGGCCGCGGCGCCGATCATCAAGAGCAGCAGGCCCAGGCCCAGGCCCAGGCCCAGGCCCAGGGCCAGGGTGTTGCCGGGCCCGGTCGAGGGGGCCGGGCAGCCCGCGGGCCCGGGCCCGGTGCAGGTGCGGCAATCCGCGTGGCAGGCGTGGCAGGCCGATGTGGCCGGGTCGGGGAAATGGCCCTCGGGGCAGGCGGCCACGCAGTCGGTGCCATGCAGCAGGAAGCGCCCGCCGGCGCACCGGTCGCAGGTGGCGATGGCCGGGCACACCAGCGCCCCGGTGGCATCGGGCAGGCAGCCGGGCTGGTCCGGGCCGGCGGTGCAGCCGTCGCACCCGGGCCCGCAGGCCAGGCACACGCGGGTGGGCTGCTCGACCGGGGCGAAGGCCGCCGGGCAGGCGGCGGCGCAGGTGCCCTGCTCGGCCAGCAGGAGGCCCGTGGCGCAGGCCGTGCAGAAGTCCCCCCGGCCGAGGCAGGCCCGGCAGTGGCCCTGGCAGTCGTGGCAGGTGTCGGCCGAGGCGGCGAACTGCCCGGCCGGGCAGGCCGCCAGGCAGGCCCCCTTCGACAGGAGGAGGCCGGCCTCGCAGCCGGTGCAGGCGTCGGCCGCGGTGCAGCCGGT